ACGATGATGATGTGAAGATGACAGTGTCCCGATGACGATGGATATGGTGGTGTTGTTGATGATGATGACGTTGAATGTTAGATCGATTGTGATATCGGTAGTGAGATCGATAGTGAGACCGAATGTGGGATCGGTTGTGAGATCGATAATCAGATCAATTGTGAGACCGAGCGAATGAGATAGATCGAGTGAGATCGATTGTGAGATCGATCGAGTGAAATCGATCGAGCGAGACCGATAGTGAGATGGATAGTGAGACCGATCGAGTGAGACGCTGCATCCTCCCCCCCCCGAACCTCCTTATCACCCGAAGGGTGGTCGTATAGGTAACAAAAAACAGAGCAGGCGACGTAAGCTTGCACAGCGAGGCAAACAGATCAGAGCGACGATGGCGGTGTGCAGCAAGATGGAGACGGTGTGAACTGAAGCGAGCCGCTGACAGAAGCCCACAGCAGGAAGAGCCCTGGGGCGTTTCCCCTGCCGACGTGCCAATGTGGCAGTTTGCAGCAGACGTGAGTAAGACTCTATAAGACGGACAAGAGCAAGCTGCTGCGAGAGGGTGGAGGCGATGACACGTGGTTCGCTTGGGTGGTACGGGGCCCCTGAGCAGGGAGGGCCTGCACACGGAGGCCCAAGGTGGATGGGCCTCCGAGTGCCCCCACCCGCTCAACTCACCCCAAAGTCACCCTCCCCAGCTCCACCACAGCAGTCAAGGCATGGCAGCAGGATGTAGAGAAAAAGAAGAGGAACCGGCGACGATATCAGCAGCAACGCGTGTTTTGAAATTGGCTATATTGGTCTGGTATAGTTGTTGGCTCAAGCAGTGCTGGCAGGCCAGAGCGGTGTGGCCACGCCCTGTAGACCAGGGGGACCTGAAATACAGTTGCGTGCATCTTATGAGTACGGACAGGAGCCGTAATATTAGACAAGCAATGAAAGAGAGTACTGGTTGACGCACGGTGCTGGCTCAAAACTTCAATTGCTTGATAGTTCAGCTGTAAGTGATTTGTTTCGTAAGGCTATATGTGGCTAACTCTGTCGGTGTAGGTCGGCCTGGAACTACAGCATCGCGCAGAAACTCACGTCCTCAGCATCTTCAGATACTAACACTCCAACAGCCACCCACCCACCCATCCCCCAATCAGTACGGATGGGAAGCCGCAACATTAGACACGCAATGACGGAAGCAGTGGTTGGCGCAAGATGTCGGTTTGAAGCTTCATTTGCTGGATAGTTCAGTTGTGAGTGATCTGCGCTGCAAGGCTGTGTTAGGCTGGCTCTGTCAGTGTGGGTCGGCCTGGGGCTACAGTATCACACAGAAGCGCACGTTCCTCCGTATCTTCAGATTCGATCCTCGCACACCAATCCCCCCTGTCAGACAGTAAATAAAGCTTACTGTACCGACAGTCGAGGCGTAGGCTGTAAAAAGAGCTGCAGAAAGAGAGTGCAATCGTGGCGGCAAGCCTTGGGCTACTACGCAGGGGTTGACGGTTTACCCCTGGCCCCAGGATATTCGTGTTTCTTGTCAATTATGTTCGGGTTAAGCACGAATGTTCGGTAAACTTATAGATAGCGCAGTGTGGCGTGGTTGGCTTATGTAATTGGTATGGCGTATCTGGCAGGGGGCTGAGCTGGCACTAAGCAGTAGAGAGCCTCGCGCACAAGGAGAGGTTGCGTGGCCACTCCCTGGAGCCCAGGGGGCCCTGAAAGACAACAACAAATTATCCCGGCAAAGCAACCTAACAGCGATGTGTAGAAGCATATCTGAAAGCATTCCCCTTAAGATTCAGATGAAAATCCAGTTGTCGAATTCTGCTGTTCTCGCAGTCGTAGTCGCATTCGCGATGACAGTCGCAGCGGCAACGGCAATCGCAGTCACAGCCTCAGCCTCAGCCTGCCTCAGCCTCAGCCTCAGCCTGCCTCAGCCTCAGCCTGCCTCAGCCTCAGCCTCAGCCTGCTTCAGCCTCAGCCTCAGTCTGCCTTCAGCCTCGGCCTCAGCCTCAGCCTGCCTCAGCCTCAGCCTGCATCAGCCTCAGCCTCAGCCTCAGCCTGCCTCAGCATCAGCCTGCCTCAGCCTCAGCCTCAGCCTGCCTCAGCCTCAGCCTGCTTCAGCCTCAGCCTCAGTCTGCCTTCAGCCTCGGCCTCAGCCTCAGCCTGCCTCAGCCTCAGCCTGCATCAGCCTCAGCCTCAGCCTCAGCCTGCCTCAGCATCAGCCTGCCTCAGCCTCAGCCTCAGCCTGCCTCAGCCTCAGCCTCAGTCTGCTTCAGCCTCAGCCTCAGTCTGCCTTCAGCCTCGGCCTCAGCCTCAGCCTGCCTCAGCCTCAGCCTGCCTCGGCCGCAGCATCAGCCTGCCTCAGCATTCAAAATGTGGCCCAGGAATGGAGTTCTGGGAACTAGAAGAACACGAAGTGGCCTACAGTTGGCTCCGGGCATTCAAAATCATGCCCAGGAACGGAGTTCTGGGAACTTGAAGAGCACGAAGTGGCCTACAGTTGGCTCCGGGCATCCAAAATGTGGCCCGGGAATGGAGTTCTGGGAAATCGAAGAGCACGAAGTGGCCTACAGTTGGCTCCGGGCATCCAAAATGTGGCCCGCGAATGGAGTTCTGGGAAGTCGAAGAGCACGAAGTGGCCTACAGTTGGCTCCGGGCATCCAAAATGTGGCCCGGGAATGGAGTTCTGGGAGCACCAAGAGCGATTTTGCGAGGATGTCCCAAGCGATTACGGCTTCGACGGCAGCCTCCCCGGGTCCCGCCCAGACCCCCTTGAGGAGTCATGATGCTCTCTTTTGAGACCAGTAGAAACCTATCAGCAAGAGCTGTTAGGTAAAAATCATCCTTCCAGAATCTGGAACCTGCGTCCCCACCATCTTCCACCCCCCACATGGCCCATCACCAAGCAGCAACGACCCAGGAGGAGGAAGAGGGAGCAGCCGCCGTACCGAGCCAGCGCCACAGCGAGGGGCATGCACCTGTCACCCGCACGCGGACACCAGGCCCCATACCCCCCCCTTGCCACCAGCAGGGTGAGGCACCCGTGAGGGGGGGAAGAGGCAAACGGCCCAGTGGAGCGGGAAAGGTGACAGAAGAGAGGGGGGCGAACGACAGCAGGAGGGGCCGTAGGGCAAGACATGCTCAGCGGGTACGTCAAACTCAAGCGTAGATAACATGATCAAAAACAAATGTGTGTAAGAGAGGAGTGGTAAATCCAAAGTCCTCGTCCTGCGGTCACTGATGTTCTGAACGCCGTTGATGTGGAAGACGTGAGGTCGCAGACTAGCCGAAGTAACTTCCACATCTGCACAGCAGGTAGGAAACTATTCGAAACCGATGTACTGGTGGACTCTGATGGTATCGTGGAAGTTGGTGTTCTAGCCCCAGTATTCTCCACCGTCTGCACGGTGGGTAGGAAATCTCGGTGTAGGTGTAGGTGGAGCATTGTGGTCAGGTGAAGGGAACTTCGGCTCGGGCATAGTCGGTACTGCCAGTGTTGTTGTAAGTTCGTGGCGTTGCTATGGTTATCAATTGCGTACGTTGTGTTGTCGCACGTCTTCCAGATATTGTTGGTATTGCTGCTGGTGTTTTCGAATTGTGTCCAAGTATTGTAGGAATCGCTTGTCGCTGCTGTCCTCGACCCACAGTGTTTCAATGTGTCCATTGTGTTGGGGTATCGGTGTTGACCCCGTCTGTCAGTCTTGTAGGTTGGTAGGTGGTGTTTTTGGCCGAATGTAGACTTGAAGGGTCGCGAAGGTCTGTGGTGCTAGCTCTGATGTTGGTATATCGGTGAGCCAGAGCTGTGCTGCTGCTCTGGGTGGTGGAAAGATCACTGGGATCTTGAGTCGTGGCGCTGGTGGGTGTGTCGGTCTTCGTATCACACTGGTGGTTTTGGTCTGTTACGCTGTTGGTGCAGTTGTGTCTGTTGGTTGTTGGATTGGCCCGATTGCAGCTGTAGGTCGTCCAGCATCCCCTCTTGTGGTGCAAATTGTGGTGTGCCGTCTGGCTGGTCGTCGCTGTCAGAGGAGTTCGATGCGGATGATGGGAGGCTGCAGTCTTTGTCGTCTTTTGTTTTGCAGGGCATGTCACTCTGACTGCAGATGTGTTGTAGAAGCCGTGCTGTGTCGCGCATATTGACTGCCCAGTCATCTTTCATGTCGTCGTAGTCGTGACAAGCGAGGATCCGTTGTGATACTGTGTAGATGGCTTGTTGTGTGTTGCGTAGGGTGGGAAAGTGTCTGTTGGCAGTGCAGAGTAGTGTATCCTTGGACCTAGCTCTCTATGCGATACTTTGTCTAGTCGTGGCCGTGCTGGTGGAAGGTGTGTGTCTGCCTGCTTGGCGCCCCTAAGTACTAAGTATGTGGTCGGTTCTGCGGGTGGAAGCTGGAAGGACGTTAATGGTGTAGCGTATACGTCTGGTTTAAGCGATGTGTGCGGCAGTACGTATGGGTAAGACTTGCTGATCAAGCATTCGCGATTGTACTTCTCAAGGTACCTGTGCCAACCATCCAATAGCAGATGGTCGTTCGGGAAACGGTGCGTAGAAGCGTTGTTGTTCTCCTTGTAGTGAACTGCGTAATGCCAGCTGTCCTCGTCGCTGTCGTCGTCGCTGTGGTCGTCCTTGGTTCTGTACGCTTCCCAGCCTGGTGTACAGTGCATGGCATGTCCTTGGCTAGGAGGTCAGGGCTTGGGGACGTAATTGTGCTCGTTCCCTCCTCCTCCTCCTCCTCCTCCTCCTCCTCCTCATCCTTCTCCTCCTCCTCCTCCTCCTTCTCCTTCTCCTTCTGCTCCTTCTGCTTTCCTCCCGTTGCCATGTTGGCCCAAGCCGAGCTGCTTCCCTCTCTCTAGCCCCCCCCCCTCGCCAGCCCCGCCCGCCTAATTGGCACCGCCCGTCGCCCTCCTCCGCCCTGGCAGCCCCCAGGCCGAGCCACTTCCCCCTCTCAGAACAGCCGCAGCTGGGGGGGGGGGGCTGCGGCCCCCTCCCCCCCCCACCCCCCCCCCGGGGGGCTCATCGGCCACGCGACGGGTTCGCTGAGGGGGGTGCGCAAGGAGCACAGCTCCCCCAGTTGTGGCAGGTCGGCCCCGCCACGTCGGATGGCGGCGGCGCGGCCGCCCGCACTGTTCGCCGCGAATTTGTCCACGCTCTGGCCGGAGGCCCCCTTCCTGGCCCGCTTCGCGCTGGCGCGGCGGGCGGGCTTCCGCCTGGTCGAGGCCCAGTGGCCCCAGCACGAGGCGACCGCGCCGCAGGTGCGGGAGCAGCTCGACCGGCACGGCCTGCGCATGGTGCTCATGAACCTCTCGGCAGGCTCGCGCAGCGGCGACCTGGGCCTCGCGGCCGACCCGTCCCGCGAGCGGGAGTTCGAGGCGTCACTGGCGGAGGGGCGGGCCTTCGCGGCAGAGGTGGGGGTGCCGAAGGTCCACTGCCTCGCGGGCATGGCGGCCGCAGGGGTGGAGGGCGCTGCGGCGCAGGGGTGTTACGTGGAGCGCCTGCGGCGCGCGGCCGACGCGCTGGGCGAGGACGGGAGGCAGCTGCTCATTGAGCCGCTCAGCGTGCCGGGCTACCACCTCGGCAGCCTGGGCCACGCGATGGCCACGTTGGAGGACCAGGGGCTCGCAGAGGGGGGGGGAGAGCGATATCCCAAGGTGGTGGGGCTGCGGGAGCAAACCCGGGGGCCGTTTGAAGTGACGTCCTTCGAGCCCTTCCACCAGGGGACGGGAGCGAGGGGTCCGCCCCGTGCTGTGCATCGGGGCGGGACAGGGATAGCCCCGCACTGGCCCGCAAGGTTCGGACGACGACGACGACGACGACGACGACGACGACGACGACGACGACGACGACGACGACGACGACGACGACGACGGCGACGGCGACGGCGACGGCGACGGCGACGGCGACGGCGACGGCGACGGCGGCGGCGGCGACGGCGACGGCGACGGCGACGGCGACGGCGACGTCGACGACGGCGACGACGACGACGACGACGACGACGAGGACACGAGCACAGAGGGGGGGACCAACGACGCGGCGACAGGGGAGAGGACACCCGGGGCACCTAGGGCTGCCAGGGCGGCGAGGCGCGCGGGGCTCACACGCCCCCGTGCGCCGGCATCCCTGCCTGCGCTCGGCGGGGAACCTCTGCCTCTCCCGTGGAGACCCAGGCCAGGAAGGCACCCTGCTTGCCCTGCGCCTCCCAGGGCATCTCTCCATACACGTGTCGATGAAAATCAAGATGTCATCTTTATATCTGACATACTCGTGTATACCTTTTTTCTCTGAGCCATGCGTTGCTGTGTCGGCTTTAATGCATGCCCGAGCCGCGGATGACTTTCCAAGCGCGGTCCGGAACAGATCGAGTAGCTACGAATTGTTTGTCCAAGAGAAACGACGTTGTTTCCCCCACTGCTGTGTTGAGATGTTCTGGCACAACGTGTTTGGCTCCAGCAATCAATGCCCCAGCCTCGACAGACATGAAAAAACTGCCACGTCAAGTCTGATAACGGAAGTGTTGTCTGGGAGCTCCGTGTCGTTTAACATTTCGATCAGATCTTCCGTGCTATTGAGTATATGCCGCTTCTTCCTCTGCTCTGTGCCCAGGACGTGCGAAAGCCATGATCCTAAGCCTTTGAATGCATGTCCTCGTCGGGTGTGGAGTACTTTGATGCTCTGAATGTGATGTCTCCAGGGGGCTTGTGTGTCTCGAGGGTCTCCACGAGAAAACAATACAGCTTCGGCCCTCCGCCCTCCAAGCTTCGCAATAAAGATTTACCATTCACCTGGTCATCAATGGTGCAAATCTTCTTAACAATCGCGACATGTTCGTCTACAACGTGTCTCCGAATTATGTTCAGAGGTGGAACTTCTTTATCATGAGGGCCAGCCGAAATATTGAAATGAGATTGGATCAGCACGTCCTTGGCAACCAATGCGAAGCCTCCGTCCTTATCTGTGAGGACAGGAGCCCACGGAAGGGCATGCAGCTGCCGAAATGCTAACCGAATGATTCCGTAAACGGTGGAATAGCTTGGTCTGCTCCTGGCGCTGTTGAGGGTGAACCTGAAGCGCTTGAAGATCTGGTATGTCATTGCATGAAGCATTGAATCTAATTCAGGCGGTACAGGGTGAGGAAAACTTTGACACTAGTGGTGGTTGGCCGAGCTCGGAACGAATAAGACGAAATGCCCCCGTTCTGTCGAACATGCCATCTCCACCAAATCTTTCGACGAATCTGTTCAATTACGGTCAACGTAGGCAAAGTTACCGGTGAAAACCGATGCTTTGGGTGGAATGGGGAGAGGAGGAAGGCAACAGGCCAAGGAACTTCGCCGAAGTCAGGATGCTTGCAGCAAGCTGCCGGCGCATCGAAAATATAGAGTTGTTCCCGATGCTTGTCGTACAGGAGCCACTCCAGATCGCCGTGCGGCATGACCTCGACAAGCTTGATAAACAAATTGTTCATTTGCCATTCCTCTGACCTCCTTTCTTCCCTTTTCCTCCTCCTCCTCCAGGTTGCCCTTCTTTGCCGCCGCCTTTCTTGCCGCCGCGAGGGCGTACCAGAGTCTCGTTGTAGTAGTTCTCGTCTGTACCTTTGCCATTCTTGTCGTGCTTGCCCTTGCCTTTGTCTTTGCTTTTGCCTTTACCTTTCGACTTGTCCTTGCCGCCCTGTCGCCCTTGGTGCCAGTGTTTTACGTCATTGCAGTGCCCCTAGGTCCCTTGCCAGGGCCTGGGGACGGGCCATTTTTTGGACGTGGAGCTGTATTGCGGTACGCCGTTACTTCATTGACGAACTTGTCGAAGGTAATATCGTTCCCGAACGCGTCGACTTGGGAGTCCAACATTATGAGATCCAGCCGCTGATTGGTCAACGCGACCAGGTCATGCATGAAGTGCTCCGCCTTCCTGATGGTGAGCTCCTGGCTGTTAGGGTCCCCGTGCAGGGCATGCAGATCCGTGGTGCCACGTCGTGGGACACCGTGCCTCCGGGGTGCCCTGGGTGTCTTGGGTTTCGGTGGTTCTGCGATGGAAAAAGCGTGACGCTCCCCACACCAAAAATATCGGCGGACATCCTGGGGTCTCAGGGGGCGGGTTCTTGTGGAAGGTCTCTTGTGGGTTCGAGCTCCTACGAGAGGAGGTGGTGATGGAGGAGGAGGAGGAGGAAGAGGAGGGGGAGGGCGAGGAGGATCAAGAGGGGGAGGGCGAGGAGAGGAGGAGGAGGAGGAGGAGGAGGAGGAGGAGAAGGTCGACTCTCGACGAGGACCCCCGCGTCCCCCCCGCGAGGAGGTCGACAGGACCAACGCCCGCCTCCAGTTCGACTTCTACCACGTGCAGCGCCTCCAGGGCAACGTCGCGGAGGCCCTGCGCAGCTGCCTGGGGCGGATCGGGCACGTCCAGCTGGCGGGGGTGCCCGGGCGCCACGAGCCGGACGAGGATCGGAGCTTAAGAGACGGAGGTCCATGCAAACGGGGGTCAGCCAGGCCACCGGATCTTGCGGGACCCTGCGAAGACCCCTTTTGGCTGACCAGGGTTAGCGAGCCGCTCGTGGCCGCAAGGCGGCCGCGCATATTGGCTGACCCGGGTTCGCGAAGCCCTGCGTAGGACACCACAAAAGTTGTGCACCTTCTGCGGCAGAGGATCCCGAGCAGCTTTTTTACGGAGTCCACGGCGGGGGAGCGAGGAGGGCACCCGGAATGCCATATCATTAACAATTCTTCGTGCCCCACCCACCCGTCCAGGAAGGCAACGCCAGAGCGAGGAGGATATAGGAATACCATACTATGTACCAGGTGTCCTGCCCGTCACACCCCTCCAGGGAGGCCCCGCCAGAGCGAGGAGAAGATCAAAATGCCATGCTATTTACAAGGCTTCGTGCCCCACCCACCTTTCCAGGGAGGTCCCACCAGAGCAAGGAGGGTATCGGAATACCCTCCATGGAGGCCCTGTTAGAGCGAGGATTGCATCAAAATACCATGCTAGCGTGCCTCCGTTTTTCGGCGTGTCGAGAAATTTCTCGCTCTCAAGACCGCCCGTGAGCCGCGCTCGTTCATAAATGCAGCACGGCGTGAATAATCCCAACACGCCTCTCGTCCTCCGCACGGACTTCCGCAATCTTATGCTTAAGAGGAGCAGGAGCTGAACTTCCCATTTCTCCTCGCCGAGCTGAGGCGCCTCGGCTACGCGGGGCCCGTGGGCTGCGAATATACACCACGCCCAGGCGGCCGGGGGATGGTGTGGAAGGAGGCCTACGACGCCGAGTAGCTCCGCCTGCCGGACAGGGAGCTCTTGCTGAGTGTCCAATCCCACTTGGCCGAGCTGAGGCGCCTCGGCTGCGCCAGGCCAGTGGGCCGCGAGCACGCGCCACGCCGAGGCGACCGAGGAACGGCGCGGAGGAAGGCCCACCCCACAGCGTAGCTCCGCCAGCCGGTCTTGGCGTCCCGCGCTGTTCTCCTCGGTCTCCTCCTCTTCTTCCTCCTCCTCCTCCTCCTCCTCCTCCTCCTCCTCCTCCTCCTCCTCCTCCTTCTCCTTATCCTTCTCCTTCTCCTTCTCCTTCTCCTCCTCATCCGTTCTTTTTCCTAATGAATAGCTCCTCCCTGGCGCACCCCGAAGCCAATCGGAAAGGCGGGCTGTGGTTTCCCTTGAGACTTCCTCAAGTACCACTGATGAGCCTCAAGCTTGAGGGTTGGAATCTCTCGCCTTCGCGCCGCGCACGTTCGTTTCAAAACCTGCAACAGCTTCATGGATTGAGGACAGGTGGTTTTCAACATGCGGCTTTCGTTTTAGCGCCACGCGCATTCGTGTTAGAATTTGACAAGAGCTTCACATTTTGAGGGAGGTTCGTTTGCAACATGTGGCTTTTCCAAGCATTACGCACATTCGCTTTTTAAAAATGCAGAGGTTCACAGACTCAGCGCGGTTCTTTTTCATTGCGTTCGCGCATTAGCGCCGCGCACATTCGTTTGCAAGAGTTTCACGGATTCTCATGGCCACCGTACCAGAAACGGTGTTCTGGCACGATGCGGGACCATCGAGGTGCAACAGTCAGGTTGATTCGTGGCGTTGACGTCTGGATAATATCTTTTTAGCATACTCCACGATCTTCAAACGGTTGTCTCCCAACGGGGAACTTCCGCCAGTGGGAATGAACCTTTGTAGGAGCCTATGAAGAGGGATCTTGGAGTGAGGGTATATTCCAAAATCGTTGATGAGTCTTGGGTTTACACGGGTCATCTTCCACCTGCTCCTCCTCCTCCTCCTCCTCCTCCCCCGCCCTCCTCTTCCTCTTCCTCCTCATTCCTCCTCTTCCTGCTCCTCCTCCTCCTCCTTCTTCTCCTCCTCCTCCCTCCTCCTTCTCCTCCTCTTCCTCCTCCTCTTCATCCTCCTCTTTCCCTCCCTCCCTCTCTCCCCAGGGGTCTCTTTGGTTTTTTGGAGGCCTCCACAGGTCCCCTGAGGTTCCCAGAGGTTTCCGGGGTGGGGGGGTCCAGAGACTTTCTGCCTGGACCGCGCAAGGACCAAAAAACGTTCGAGAGGCAACACAAAACCTCGCCCTCCGCCTCCTCATCATCCCCCCTCCCCGCCCGAAGTTTGCATCTCATCTCCTCTACCTCCCCCTTCCGTCGTTATCCCTCCTCTTCTTGCCCCCTCCCCCCTCCTCCTGCCTCCCCCTTCCCGCCGGCCGGCGCGTCGGCGTGGCCGGTGCTGCGCCCGCAGCGAGCGGCCAGGGGTGCCGTCGCAAAAGGGGCGCCCATTGCGCGAGGGGGAAGGAGCCCTCCTCTTCCTCCTCCTCCTCCTCCTCTTCCTCCCCCTCTTCCTCCTTCTCCTCCTCCCTCCTCCTCCTCCTCCTCCTCTTCCTCCTCCTCCTCCTCCTCTTCCTCCTCCTCCTCCTCTTCCTCCTCCTCCTTTTCCATCCCTCTTCCTTTCCTCCCTTCACCATTTCACGGATGGGAGGCAGGCGGTTTTCAAAACGGGGCTCCCGTTTGGGCGCCTCGAACCTTTTTTTATACACCAGAGAAGAACCAAACCAGTGGATGGTTTGAAAAGTAGTGATATGAAAATTGAGATCGATTGTGAGATCGACAGCGTGATCGTTAGTGGGATCAACAGTGATGACGATAGTGAGGTCCGTCGTGAGACCGATAGTGAAGTTGCTTCAGTGAGATCGATCGTAAGATCGTTCGTGCGATCTATAGTTGGATCGATTGTGAGACCGATAGTGAGACCGATAGTGAGGTCGATGGTGAGATCGATTGTGAGATCGATAGGGAGGGGGCTAATGCGATCGATGGTGAGACCGATCGATAAGGAGATCGACCAGGAACCCAGAAACCCGGAAACCCCGCCGCCCACCGAAATCGGCCCGGGACCAGGAAACGGGAACCCGGGAGCCCAGAACCGGGAACCCAGGAACCAAGCCGCCCACCGAAATCGGCCGGTAATGTTCGCCAAATCTTTCAACATCCGCTAGGACCCCTCCAGTGCAAGCACTGATTGGGGAACATCAGATTCGTGGCCCATAGGGAGCCCCACCTAAGGCCCCAGTGGCAAAGTCCACATGCCTCTCCCTACCCAGCGCAGTGTTTCGTGGCCCATGTGGAGCTCCATCGAAGGCCCCAGTGGCGCAGTCCACATGCGTCTCCCTCCCCCCAGTAAAGCGTTTCGTGGCCCATAGGGAGCTCCTCCGAAGGCCCCCGTGGAAAAGTTCACACGCGTCTCCACCACCCAGTACAGCGACTCGTGGCCCACAGGGAGCTCCACTGAAGACGATACCCACAACAGCGGCACTCACAACAGGGTCCTCCGCCATGCTAAGAAACTGCCTGTGGCGGCGTTGCCAACGCAGCTAGGCTCGGTTCACAAAAGGATATCGCAGAACAAGTTGTTCTGAAGGCCCAGTGCAGCGAGCTTCAGCCTGCTCCAGACAGGAAAACCTCCAAGCGATCCTGAATGAGGGGGGGCGTCTGCTGAACAGCTGTTCTCCCCAGCACCCTACGAGCAGGAACGTGCATGTCAAGACGGTGTCTTCGCTTCCGAGCTCTCGCACCAGTTAACCAGATGAGGCAGCATAGCTACCGCCATGTGTCTATGCAATATTTGTGTGGATGGTTGCCGAAGGACACACTACGTGGGCGCAGAGAAGGCCAGTCTGTGCAAACAGCAGCTGTGATGCAGCAGCGTACGGTATGTATCGGGTACTCTCGTTGGCCGGCAGCTTTCTCATCTGTTGGGATCGCGAAGGAGCTCCTCCCTTTGTCGGGAAGACGTGAGCGGGCAGCTTCGCGCAGTCCGCTCGCGGCGCCCCGCCCGGCGCAGAGAAAGCGCCGACCGCGCGATAGGATCCGACAGAAGCCGCGAGATGCAGTGACAGGGAGGGACAGAAGAAGGGAAGAGGTCAGCGAGGAGAGCATCTGCTGCGTAGCACCAAGAAGGAAAAAGACGACATGGATTTTCGGAGATCCGCATGGACCTCTTGGATCCGCGCCAGATTCTTCTTGCAGTTCCTCCGGCGCCGCCACTGGCGCGCTCCTACAGGCAGTGCTGTGCTGATTATGTTTGTCCAGGCGTGAGCTCTCGGGCGCCAGGGATGCGGAGGCGGGCATCGGATCTGCAGGAAACATTCCGGAGCAGGAGGAGGAGGAGGAGGAAGGGGAGGAGGAGGAGAAGGAGGAGGCGGGAAACTCTCGGGCTTTCGATCTGCCTTGCGTGGCGGGGGCCCTCCTCCGAAGTAGGCCTTCTCTCTCTGACACGTGCACGGAGACAGCCAGTCTCCCGAGCGCTCTCCGGCAGGGCGTATGGCCAGGAGACGGCGGAGTCTTTTTGGTAGGTAGCGAAGAATGACACAAGCACAGAACCTCGGAGGTCCGCGCGGATTTCTCGAATCCGCGCTGGACCCCCCCGCGCGGAGCGCGCCAGGGGCGGCGCCGGAGGCGCCGCCAGGGGGGCCCAGCGCGGATCCGAGAAATCCGCGCGGACCTCCGAGGTTTTATGTTTGTGTCATCCTCCGTTCCCCCAAGTCGGGCTCGTGCTCTCTTTCTGCGGGTCGCTGCGCGAGCAGTGCTTCGTTGACGCAGCCTTCCGTCGGGCATGTCCTTCTGCAGGGGGGATATGCAGAAATGGTCTAAAATAGTCTGGGGACTATTTCTTGAGTGCATTTGAGCACGCTTTTATTACTCTTTGACTCATCCTCTGTTTTTCCGCCCAGAATCCGCCTACACGCAGCCCCCCCCCCCCCCCTGCGCCGTGGGCACGGCAGGGCCCGCGCGCCGAGCGGGGGCCTGGGCTGTGGGGGCGCGGCTCGGCCGTCCGCGTCGCGACCTGGCGGGCTCGAGGAGGGAGGGAGGGAGGGAGGAGGAGGGAGGAGGAAGCAGAGGAGGAGGAAGCAGGAGGAGGAGGAGGAGGGGGGGAGGAGGGAGGGAGGGAGGGAGGGAGGGAGGAGGGAGGAGGGAGAGGAGGAGGAAGCAGGAGGAGGAGGAGGAGGAGGGGGAGGAGGGAGGGAGGGAGGGAGGGGAGGAGGAGGGAGGAGGGAGGAGGAAGGGAGGAGGAGGAAAGCAGGAGGAGGAGGAGGAGGGGGGAGGAGGGAGGGAGGGAGGGAGGGGGAGGAGGGAGGAGGGAGGAGGAAGCAGGAGAGGAGGAAGCAGGAGGAGGAGGGGAGGGGGGAGGAGGGAGGGAGGGAGGGAGGAGGGAGGAGGGAGGAGGAGGAAGCAGGAGGAGGAGGAAGCAGGAGGAGGAGGAGGAGGGGGGGAGGAGGGAGGGAGGGAGGGAGGAGGGAGGAGGGGGAGGGAGGAGGAAGCAGGAGGAGGAGGAAGCAGGAGGAGGAGGAGGAGGGGGGGAGGAGGGAGGGAGGGAGGAGGAGGGAGGAGGGGGGAGGAGAGGAAGCAGGAGGAGGAGGAGGAGGAAGCAGGAGGAGGAGGAGGGAGGGAGGAGGGAGGGAGGGAGGAGGGAGGAGGGAGGAGGAGGAGGAAGCAGGAGGAGGAGGAAGCAGGAGGAGGAGGGGGGAGGGAGGAGGGAGGAGGGAGGAGGGAGGAGGAGGAGGAGGAAGCAGGAGGAGGAGGAGGAGGAGGAGGATTTTGGATGGCGCGCCGCGCCGCCGGCTCTGGCCCACCGCGCTGCGTCGCGACACGCCATCCCAAAGTTCCCGGCCCCCCCAGGTGTCAACGTCCCGAGCCTTCCCCGGCCTTGCGATGTTTCAACTTGTTTTTTAGCCTCGAGCACCAGAAGTAACTTCGAGCACAAAGAGAGTCACGAAGCAGGAGGGTTTTCGCGTGTCGGGCCCTGGGAGGCGATACTCGTTCGACACCCTTTTGGCACTTCTCTGGGTGCTGGAAAGTATTTCTGGGACGCGGTCCTTAAGTACGATGGGAACAACATGACTCTGATGCCGAGAATCGAAGAAGAAAAAAGTGCATAAACATAAGCGTTTGGCGTTCCGCTCGGATTTCTTGGATACGCGCTGGGGCCCCCCAGCGGCGCGCCGAAAGTTTCTGTGTATGGCGTTTTTCTTGTTCCTCTAG